CACCACCCCCTCCTCCCCAAGGGCAGGGGGAGCTGCCGGCAGCGCTCCCGGACTGCCGCCCATGCAGGAAACTGGGAACAGGGACACAGCTGCCATGCAGTAAAGAGCACTGAGCCTCTTGGGACAGCCTAATGCCTCCTGATGGAAGCTGTTTATTCTTTTTATTGCTGCCCTGTTGACTTTATGTGAAAAGCCCTGCAGCAGGATCAGGCAGCTGAAGGCACCCAGCAGGACAAGCAGCGCTCGGGGACCCCTCCTCGGCAGCGCTGGGCTGCGGGGGCTGCCCTGCATGGCAGGCTGGTGACAGCACTGCTCTGCGTGGAGTGGCCAGCATACAGCATACCTGGCTCTCCAGCTGGCAGGGGCCTGGCATCTGGCAGAAAGCCCACGCAGAGGACAGCGTGGGAGGAACCTCAGTGCCTTTGTGGAGCTGAAAGGCTCTTTATGCTGGAAAAATCGCTTCAAAGAACAAAGCAAATCCCCAGAAGAGACCTTCTGCTTGTATAAACCAGTATCTCTGAATGAAAGGCAGTGATGTCCCGCAGAGGCTTCCAGGCTGGGGGAGCATCCCTGTGCACTCATACAGGGAACAGGCTGCACCAAGCCCGGCTGCTGCCCTGCAGACACAGCCTGCCCAGGAACTAGGCTACTGCTGGAACAGCGATGACACAGGCTGCAACACGTGCCTAAAAGCACATCCTAAAGAAGCAGTCTCTGGCTGCAGCACCTTGGTATCTGCTTTGCTTTCAGAAGGCTGAATCCTGCACATGAAGTACAGCCGATGCCTGAGAGCCCAGCTCAGCCTTTCCCATCAGGACAGGAGGCTGGCATGGAACAAGGTTCCAGCACGTGGCAAAACTGGAGCATCCCAGCTACCAGGAAACAGCAGCCTAAGTCCTCATCCTGCAGTACCAGCACTAGCTGGAGACAGACAGTTCTCAGTTGCTCTGCTCCCTTCTTTCCACATTTCTTCTTTACTCTTTCTTTAAAGAAATATTGTGCATTATACATGTCTTTTCTGGCCTCCACTCCCCTGACAATGCTGCAAAACCTAGAGCCTTTCTGCAAGGTAAGTGAAGCCAACTGAAGATCTTTGGCATAACAACTCTGACTGCTGTTTCTGTCTCCTAACGCGAGTAAGCAACACTTGACCATGTGAAAAATGCCAACACCATCAGCTAAGTCTTCTACAGACTCAACAATTTGGCAGCAGTGTATAATATTGAATTCCACAGAACTCCCTTCCTTTACTTGCTTGTTTGTCTCAGATATGGCAACACACCAACGCACAGAGCAGCCCTTTTGCTGTTTCAAAAGGGTTTACAGGAGGCCGGACAAGTTCTGGTGGATCAGCATGTACTGCCACTGATGGGTTCATTTTACTGTGCTAAATCTAGCAACACCTTTCATGCAACTACTTCAAAATATTTTACAGCCATTTCCCACAAACTCCAGAGGGACGGATAAGCAGCTTTATCTCCACTTCACATACGTGGCCAAAGAGATTAACTTGGTCACAGTTAATGACAGAAAGGAGAGACGAGCCCAGGCATTTTAATATAAACACATGCCTCTTTTGACAGAGGGGGCACAGCAAAGTACTTTAAATCCAAGTTTAACTTGATCTGTCTCTATATTCTTCTCTTCCTCTCTAAAGGACAAAACAAAAAGGTCACTGGAGATGAGGGAGGGACAGACGTGCTCTGTGCCGCTCCACGGCTCCTCTGATCAAGTTTTACATTTCTCATTAAAACCAAAGCCCTGGGAGGACTCTCTGCCCTCTCCCGAGCAGCTGGGGCCTTCTTCCTTGCTGGAGCAGGAGATTAGCAGGACAGCTTTGTTAGAAAAGTCACCATTCTGCAGTGATGGGAGGGCACAAGAAATGTCAAGGCTGTGCCTGATAGATGACACGGAGCCCTCTGGGATCTGGGGGGGATGCTGCTAGATTAGCTGCTCCATGTCCTGACGGTTCAGATTTGCGTACCAATCAAGAAGCTGCACATGGCAATTTCTGCTTGACATGAAGGGTGTGGAGAGTCCCCCCACCCCTTCTGTTCGTTGGTGACACAGGCTGGAGGAGGATGTGCACAACTGCAGGAGATGGGCAGTGCTGGGATGCCAGTGGGGCACGGCTGGCCAGCCTTGGAGCTCACCCACAGCTCAGATCCCACCACAAAGCCCCTCAGCAGGTGCTGCCCCTGTAGATTTGCTGCCCCGGGGCCCAGCACTGCCCCACTCTGCACAGGCTGCAGCCATGGGCCCTGCTGGGCCTCCAGCAGAGGCCAAATCCACCCTCCCCGCCCAGAGCCCCTCCCCATGCCCACCACACCTCGGATGCCCATGGGACAGAGGACCTGGGTCATGCCACACGCAGACCCACTGTCCCCAAACAGCACTGCTGTTCCTGACAGGCACAGCACTCTTATCATCATTGAATGCACTGAGACTAAAATGCTAACTTTAAAACTACATCTAAAAACATCTGTCTCATCTTCCTTTGTGCAGATTAGCCACCTACAGAAAGCCCGATGCTGCTGGCTCCAATGACTGTCTTCTCCTTCCATCACTCTCAGTACTAGAAGAGGATCTTCTTCTGCAGAGTGCCAAAACCCTTCTTGCCATGCTCTTGCAAGATACATAGAATTTGTACTAAAGTCTGTTTAAATAAACTGCTCTTCCTTTGGGGATTTAAAATTGGGACAGCCATGTGCAGCTCACACATCCGAGATCTTGTTTTCTTTGGTGAAGAGAACATATAATCAGGGGAATTTAGCTGCACAGAGTTGAAAGAAGCTTTAGTTAAAGACCCCTGGAGGGATTCCTGGAGTGCAGAAGAAAAGCCATCTGCTGACTCTGGTGGAAGTGTCAGCAAGCAAATAAAGTTGGGAAGAATAACCTAAACAGCCTGAACTAACTTGAAACTCAGCAACTCTCCAGGAAACTGAAGCCCTCAAAGCTCCAGAAAAAAAACCAACATTATTTAAAAAATGAGGAAGACAGAAAATACACACAAGAAAATTAGAAACCCCACAGATAAATCAAAGTGTTATCATACCTTGCCATTCAAGTATCTTCACAATCAAATTACTGTTTTTCTAATATGGCTAAATACATTTTATATAATAAGGGGGGGAGAAGGACATGCTAAGAATATTTATTTTCTTCAATTAAGCTTAGAAGAATAAATATAAGTTAATAGGTTAATAAAGCAGATAAACACTCCAGCACATTTTTAAATTAAACATTTAAGTCATGATGAAGCCAGAGGACTAACTTGATACTTATAAATCCGTGACTTATGTGTTCATTGAAGCAACTCCAGCAGGAAGGAACCCGGCACTGTGCAACCTATAGCACTATGAAGATACCTATTACGGAAAGAAATGGAAATCCCTTCTCTCCAATCATTTCAAAGCAGTTCACAGGAGTCACTGATATGCTGCTCGGTTCCTACCATCACCACAAACCTGCTTCCAGCAGTTCCTGCCCTGAGGGCTGCCAAGGGCAGCTCCACTGACAGAGGCTGCAGATGTGTGCAGCAGAAAGAAAAAAAGTCCTCTGTTTCCACAGCAAACCCAAGAGCATATCTGTTTCAAATGCAGACAAATCAATGGGACAGGAGGAAACCCCAGGTTCCCTGGCTTGGCTCAAAGCAAATTCCCCTCCAAAGGCTCCAGACTTGGAGAAGCTCCAGCCACAGAACAACCTGCAGGGTGGAGGCCACAGATGAAGCTGTTGCTATATCATGGAGCAAAGGACCATGTCTGCCCAACTCCAAGGCTCCGTGTGCATCAACAGCCAAACCTCAGCAGGCTGGGGGAACAGCAGGAAAGGTGCAGAAAATGGTCAAGCAATTTGCATGTTTGTCCAAGCAGTTGGTCCATTAGATGTGCCTGAACCAAACAGGTCAATCGAGACTCCCCTGATTCTGTGCTTAGGAAAGTGCTGGGTTCAGGCTGGTTCATACCCTGCAGCTACAATTAAAAACTCCATCTTTTTCCAGACACTGATGGAAGAAGTTTACATGGAGCATAAACAGAAATCAATTACTTTGCTGTGTGATCGTGTGGCTGCCGTCAAGTTCAGAGGAGGCTGTCTCTGAGCATTGCCCAGAGACGTGGTGGCTGCCCCATCACTGGAAGTGTCCAAGGCCAGGTTGGATGGGGCTTTAAGCAACCTGATCTACTGAAAGATGTCCCTGCCCATGGCAGGGGCATGGAGCAGATGATCTTTGAATCCTATCCATCCTATCTATCCTATCATTCCCACCTAATGGCAGCTCAAGCTCTGCTCATATAAGCCTACAAAAACTGGGGAGAAAAATGAAATGTGTGCGTGCAGCTGAGAGTGAAAAAACCACCACAGGGAAAAAAAACCCCACCATCCAAACTTACAGGACATTTTCAGGCCCCAGGTAACTGCGTTTTAAAGCTCCAACAAATACCCCTTCATCACCACCACATGAGTGTGCATCTAAGGAGCAAAACATGCTGAGGCTGTGCACTGAGCAGCAGGAAAGGGGCAGGATGTGCTGGGGGGGACACACTTACATCGATGAGGTCAGAGACGTCGTGGATGTAGTATTTGCTGACAGCGGCATTGGCGGCTGCCAGGTTCAGC